TGAAATTTGAATTTCAGGTAAACCATGAGCAATGTGTAGTATATCCCATGTAGTATTGGGGATGCTCTAAAAATTTATGTGTTGCTTAGCTGAAACTCCAGTTCAACGGGATGTCCTGTGTATTTTTGTTGAATCTGGTAATCCTAGGATTGGGGATTGTCATGCTGGGAACTCAGCTGCAAGAGCCCAAGTCGGGCAGGACATGCGTGCAGGAGTGTTAACGCCTCACACATTCGGCTCAGGGTGAGTGGGGCAAGGTTCGGATGTTGACAGACCGAGGAGAGCTTCCTTTGCCGCAAGTGGGGTTCTAGCGGGGGGACCCCACCCCTCAGCAGCCTTAGTGCCAGGGAAAGACCATAAATCAGGGAAAGAAGTTTCTTTGTTCATTCAGCAAATGTGCTTCACCCAGTACCAGGCTCTATGCTGGGCACCGGGCTGTGAATAAAACCAAGTACCTGCCCTCATGTGGTGTCTTGGAGGAGAAAGGGGACCACAGACGCACATGCAAACCCACAGCCCAACAAGGTCATTTCAGTTATAGTGACGACGAGCCAGAGGCCAAGTTTGGGGCAAAATCAGGGAGGTCTTCTCGGAGGAAGTGGCATCTCATTCAAACTAGGACCTGAGCATCCAGCAAAAGCACCATATAAACTCTTCCCCTTTTGAGACTCATATTCCAAAAAGTGACATGTAAACAGAAGAGTCTGGCTGATAATTCTAGAGAAGGACAGCAAAGGAGAGAGAGGCTGGAGGGAAGTCAAGGCCACCTCTCTGGGATATGTCAGGGATAGTGGGGAGGGAGCCCCAGGCCAGGGGCAGCAGGTGCCAGGCTAAAGCTGTGGGCAGCAGAGGCGCCAGGGGTGCTGGAGACCCCGGGAACTCTGGAGGCTGGGCTGTATTTCCCAACTCAGCTCTGGACACCGGGTTGTGAAATGAGTTTGTCCCCTGGGCAGCTGCGGGGACCCCGGACACCACGTGCCGCTGCTGGCCCTGCCTGTGGGTAGAATCTGCTGCAGAGCACTCTCTAGACCCAGGGGTGGCTCTGCTTCTGATGCACAGCACACGCTGGGGGACTGGGCAGCCTCAGGGGGCGTGTCCCCTGCACTCACATGCTCCCCAGGCACACAGGAGTTCAGTGCTCTGCTGCTAATAGTATCTTATAATTTGCAATAATTCATCATTTTTGACCAAGGGACCTCAGAAATTGTGTAACCAGCCCTGCCCAGAAGCCAGCCTGAGCTGGCAGCCGCCGGGACCCTGTGGGAGGCGGCGTGGGTTCTGGCCGTGGCCGGAGGCGGCTGGCACTTCTTCATGGTGCTCACTGGCCGAGGACGGCTGTGCACGGTGGAAAGCGCCCAGCTGCACCAACACGGACCCCGCCTGGAGGGCAGGCTGAGGAGTGAGGCAGGGAGGGCTTCTTCGGCCAGCCCTGTGCCTCCCGTCCTGCCACTCTGGTGGAGGACAGAGATTTCTGGGCTTCTTTGGGGCAGTCCGAAGAGGTTTAAAGGGCCCACGGAGACATTGTCTCCAAGTCCTTCCTGGACGTCACTGTCTCCTTTCCCTGATTTACATCTTCGGGCCTGTTTTGTTTTTCCATGTAGTTTTACTTTAAACCCTAAGAAGAACTATGTTTATTGGGGACAGCCCGGGGCCTGGCCTAGTTCTCCCATTTCGTGTTCTTCCTGGTAGTCATTCAACAGACTTGCATCAGAGCGTCCAGTGAGCCAGGGCTTAGTGCACTGGATCCCCACATAGCCTTACAAATTAAAGCTAACATTGTTCCCATTTGACAGAGGGGGACACTGAGGCTTGGTACCTATGAGTGAGGTGAGCCAGGGCATGAACACAGACGCTTTGCACCCCTATCCCATAGGGGCAGGCCTCAGCAGGTGGTGCCTTCCATGTCCCTTTTTCCATCCTTCCTGCCTTTGCCCGGTCACCCTGGTCACTCCTGCTGGGTTCATGCAACACTGCTCAGTCCAGTCACCACGCTGCACCTCACCGCTTCAAGGTTTTCTCCCATAAAAGCACATTCGAGCTGCACAGCAGCTGACCTCTGCAGAGCTGTGAAGCTGGGGCAGCTGGGGATGTGAACGGCAATTCCAGCCAAATGCTTCAGAGTCCTTCCTGTGTGGGTGACCTGCGCAGGTGACTTCGCCTTGCTGAACTCTGGATTTCACATGCGTGGGAGGAAGTATGTCACAACCCCAGCGGAGACCAAGGGCACTGGAACTCGTGTAGGCAAAGGGGTTCCTGGTCTCATGCACTTGGCTCCAGTGCCCGAGGGCAGGCCTCTGGGACTTGCTCCCTGCTGGGTCCCGGTACCCCACGGCAAGCAAAAGGGACTCACCGAGCCTCTGCAGAGTAGTTGGTTGAGTAAACCGCCCCCTCCCCAGACATATGAATCACCTTTTGGGGTGGCCTTCACTGCTTAGAATTCTCGCTTCCCTACTCGCTCACTTCCTCCACTTTCAGGGCTCCACTTGCAACCCCGCCTCTGGAAGCCAGAAATCTGGGCCAACATCTACCTACCAAAAAGAATAAGAAGTTCTTGCCTGTCACCAAACCAGAACCGGAACTCCTCACCAGAAAGATGCATGGATGTGTGTATGTGTGTGTTTAAGAGAGAGCCGAGTGTCTTCTTGACTGTGTTTAGGTGCAGAAAGATGTCACATGGCTGAGCTCTCCTGCAGTGTGGCAGAGAAGCTCGGTTAAGGTGACCGTGCATACCACTGCCCCTGGGGAATCAGCCGCTCTCCTCCTCCCTATGCAGTTTTTCCTTTCCAGCAGGAAGCTGGGATTTACAGAGAAGACAAGGTTTGGGGCCCCCAGTAAAAAGATGGGAGACATACAGAAGGGACCATTAGAGCCAATGTCATCTTCCGATGGATGGGTAACTGAGACCCCGAAAGAGGCGTGATTTAGCTAAAGTCAAAGTGCTCGTGAAAGGCCAAATTATGCCACGGCCCAGCTCCTAACTCCTGTCCCAGTCCTCTCAGGGTCTTTGGTTACCTTAAAGAGCTTAATTTATGGGCCTTTCTACCACAGATTCAGCCCGAGAGGGGTTGGAAGGATTCCAGATGTTCAACTTAAGTCTAAAACACTTCAAAAAGAACTGTTTGTCATGCAAGCTGATTTCATGGACCAGAAATATGGGAATGAAAACATTCTGCATCTCTGTTCTCAGGAACGATCCATACTGCAGCCGTTGGGAGTGATCACTAATGTAAAACCTGCATTCTCAGTGGTGCAGCAGGCCCTAGGGAAAGGCCGGGTCCGGCACATGGCTGCTAGTTTCTGAAGGAGGCAGGAGGAGAAGGCCGGGCCTGCCGCCTCACCTGGCACGCCTGGCCCAGGGGCGATTCTGTAGCTCATGGCAGGCACCGTGCTAGACCCTTGCCAGACACAGTGACTGTGTAAAGCGAGGCTATGTCCTCTACTCCTAACCTTTGATTCTGTGTACCCAGAACTGTGGGGTCACACAGTATAATATGCTGCACCACTTCTAACAAGGTGATTTTGTTTGGAAAAGTTAAGTAACTACTCTGGGCCTCAGTTTCCCCACTTTAAAAATGGAGCTCAAAAAGGTGCCTACCCCGGATGCCATCGGAAGGATTAAATGGGGCGCTCCTGAAGGACACCTGGCACGGGGCCCGGCCAGCAGCAAGCGGTTGGTGATTGTTATTGCTGAACACACTGTACTCTGGGGACTCCCGGTGCCGCACACCATACCAGTGAACTCTGGCCTCCTCCCCTTCCTTTTGGAGAACTTCTCACAAACTGTCACTGCATGAATTTTAGAGCTGATTGCTCAGTGTCTCTTGCACCAGTGGGACTCTTCATGCATATCCCCAGGAATAGGTCATCAGATGTCCCCACTGGCTCCAGAATACGCTAGGAGAACACTGTCAGTGTAAAGGAATGGGGCACTACCGTGCCACCGCTGTCCCCACAGGGATTCGGTGCCAGGAAAACAGGAAAACACTCCACTACCACCAGCAGCAGTGCCTGGCAGAGCGGGAGGAACCACCCTTCCCCATCCATCTGCACTGGGAGCCTGCCCATGGCTGACACCGTCCTCAGACAGTGGGGCTTCAAAAACAAAGAAACTAAGGTTACATTATTGAAGAAGGCACCGGCTACTTTTGTTTGGGATTTCTGCTGCAACCAACATTTGTAACAGCGCCTGGTAAGTATACACGCTCAATAAATAATATCTGCTGGGTGAATGAATGAATAAAAGGCAATTTTGCGGTGCAGATCAGGCCCTTAAAATACACGGATCTTGCCAGGGGTAGTGGTGGACACCTGTAATTCCAGCACTCGGGAGGCTGAGACAGGAACATAGCCGCTAGCTTGAGGTCAGCCTTGGGCTACATAATGCATTCAAGGACAGTTTGAACTACATAGCAAGAGTCTGCCTCCTACAAGCAAACAAAGAAAGCGTATCTTCATCTGTAAAAGCAAAAGTACAATGAAATTAAGAAAAAAAAAAGGCAATGGTTAAATAAAGGTCGAAGTTAAATTAACTGTTCAAAATCAGGTTTTCAAAGATTATTTGAGGACACAGAGAAGTCTTTCCTAAGGTAAATCTAAAAATAGGCTGCAGAACGGATGCTAATTTTGTACCAATAAAATTATTAGGAAAGATTTTGTATGAATAAAATTATTAGATAAAAACTGAAGCGTGTTAAATTTTTAACTGGCTTTATGTAATGGATTAAATGCAATACATTTCTGCTACAGTGTTTGCTGCCGTTTTCTACAACGAACATTAACTGCAAAAAAAAATTAAAGGTTATTTAAACGTGCCTCGAGAGGAACACCAGCCTCTTCCTCCCCGCGGCTCCTTTAACGGGAGTCAAGACACCGAAGAGGCAGGGGTGCCAGACACGGCTGACGTCACAGGCAGCCGAAATGACACAGCGGGCGGACCAATCCCAAGTTCGGATTTCAGGAGAAGCCAGTGAGATTGGACACAAGTGCTGGCGGCCTCGGCCAATGGCGGAAGAGAGGCCGGGGCCGGCGGCCGCGTGGGTTTTAAATCCACGTGGTGGCGGGGGACGGAGGGCGGGGCGCTCAAGAATGGGGAGCGGGTGGAGGCTGCGGAGCGGCTCTGGGGCTTGGTTCTGCTAGGAAAGACGGCCTTGCAGAGCCTGTTTATATCAGTAGGGTTTCTGAGGTCCAGGGGACTCGGCGGGCGCTACCCGAGCGTGTGCCGGGCGGTCTTGCTAGGAGAGGGCAGGACACGCGAGAGCAGGGGTAACCGCACGCGTGCCCTCTGTAACCACCGGCGGACGGCTCAGTCACCCCCCCTCTGTCTGCCTCCTCCGCCACATCGGAGCTCCCACTCGTCTCTTCCACGGTGGGGGCGGGGTCCCTGGGCCTCTTGGAAGGTGTGACATTCGGTTAGTACTCACTGCAAAGATCAGTCTTAGCTCAGTACCTAACGCAGGGGAGGTGTCTGATCAAAGGCGACTGCTTCCTGCAGTAGAGTGGCGGCTAGCAATGATTCGATGCCTATTGTGTGGACATTTTGCTTACCCAGTAGTCACAGAATTGTAAGTCCTGGCTGACTTAACAGCCCCCACGAATAAGTCAGGCACTACTATCGCGCCCCTTTTGCTGATGGGGAAACCAAGGCAGGAGGTTCTAAGGTTGTGTGGTTGGGCGGTGCTGGGCTCAAACCCGGACCTGTCAGTTTCTGCGGCACTTACTCCTAACCTGGTATTTCCATGGTGCTCAGCCCCCTGAGAAAATTTTCACAAACCTGGCCTGTGCTCTTGGGAAGGGAGAAGGAAGGGAAGTTAGGTGCATCAGAGACATTCTGGGGAGCTGGGATCCTGCCCGCTACTGCGTGGTCAGGAAGAGGCGCATCACAGTGGCTGCGGTTGGGGCCACATCTCCCCTAAAGAGCCTGCCCCTGGGTCAGGCCTGTGCCGAGCTAAGCACAGCCTGTCCTTGCCTTCATGGAATCACCAGTCCAAACCAGTGACCACCAACTAGTGACTGGGGGCCGCCTGCAGCAGGACTTTTAGTTTAGTTTAGTTCAGTTTTATTTTTGTCTTGCTGAGAATAAAACCCAGGATGTCTACCTCTGAAAAACATTCCCAGCTCTCACCACCCCCTTTAAAAAATTTTTATTTTGAGACAAACTCTCTTTACATTGCTCAGGCTGGCCTTGAATCTGCCACGCTCCTGCCCCAGCCTCCAGAGCACTGGGATGACAGGCTTGTGCCACCAGGCAGCATAACTTGATTTTTGGTTTTGCCTGCATAATGTTTAAAATTTCTGTAAATGCCTTAATGTGAGTTGCCACGGTCAGCATCTGAAGGCTGATTATCTTTATTGCCTGATCTGCTCCTGAAAGCAGCCCCCAGGTGGGCCAGCACCTCTGTGTGGGCAAGTGCACTGTGTTTGGAACCCCTGGATCTCCATGCTGAGCTGAGCTGCCTAGCCCTGCGCCTCCCGGTATCCCAAGGCCCCTGACTTACGCAGCCTTCAGCTTGAGTACCTGGGCACTCTGGTGCTGACTGCCAGCTCTGAGTTAGTTAAATTGAGATTCAACGACAGCGTCGCTGCTAACCAGCTGAGCCTCAGCTTCCTCCTCCGTAAAATGGAGATAATCATATTTCCCTTCTCAGTGTGTTTTTTGGAGGAGTAAGTCAGGTGACATGGGTTAAGTGTCGGGAACTGGGCTGTTTATCTTTCTTTGGCAGGGACCTGGCTTACAGTCACTGTCACTGGTAGGCAGGTTTTCCTTATACAGAGCTGAGGTCACTTCCTCAGGTCATAAACGTGTTCCTCTTTCCACAGAATAGTCCTTCAGAATCTGAGGACTAAGCTAAACATCACAGCTTCCTGTTCAAGACTAGATACAAAATTTGGGGAGCCCAGTGCCAGCAAAAGATGCAGTGTTCCTTGTTCAAAAGTATTAAAAACTTCAAGATGGTGACAACAGAACTCAGAGCCCCTCCTGAAGGCAGAACGTTGTGTCACATGGGCCATATCCAGGAAGCCTGCCCCACCCCCACTGGAGGTCCCTGGTCTGGCACCGTCTTCTAGAACCACACCGGGTTGGGTGGGCTCATTGAGGACAGTTTCCAGCTGTGCCCAGGGAAGGCCACTTGCAGTGGGGTGTGTGTCTCGGCCACTCACTGTGGACATCTTCTTTCACAGAGCCCAGCCAGCTGCCTTCCACATAACAACGGGCTGTCCCCACTCGACTTTATTTCTCACTGTACTGGGACATAGACAAAGTGCAAGCTACAGTGGGGTCTCATGGAGAACTGCCTATGTAACCGCCAGCCAGATTAAGGTAGGGAATATTCCTACTGGTGTAGCAAGTTCCCAGGTATTACAACCCCACTGCTGCTGCAGAGGTAAGCACAATTCTGACTTTGTTACTGTAGATTTGTGTTGCCTCTTAAACGTCACGGAAATGCAACCCTACCGTATATGTTCTTCTGGATCTGCCTTTTCTCCTCACTACTGAATTTGAGCGAATGGGGCCTATTGCTAGATCCCTGGCCTATTTTGAATTTTATTTTGAGACAGGTTCCCCCTAAATTCAGGCTGGCCTTGAACTCACAGTCATCCTGCTTCAGCTTCAGGCCGCTGTGATTCCACACGTGTAGCACCATGCCCAGCCTGGTGGCGTTCCTTTGTGTGACTTACCTCAATTCACCTACTTTTCTGTCGATGGGTATCGGGATTGCTCCCAGCCCTTGGCTACCTCATTTGGGCAGGTGTGATCATTTTTTGGTGGGCAGGCCCCTACAGGTATGTTAGCAGCACCGACGAGTCAGGTCCTGACCATGGATTTTGTGGTGCAGTGAATAGGAGACCCCAAGTCCCCACCACCGTTCTCCTTGCATCCCTCTGACACCAGAAGTTATCAGGAAAACACAGACCAAACCAAACACGCCCACTCCTGCCTGAATCACCTTAACCCTTTCTCATCAGCCACAGCCTGACAGCACAGTTTGAAATTCCAAACCTGTTGATCGCTAGACAAGAAAGTCACCTTTCCCCGACTGCGAAACGAATCAGGTTTGACTCAGGTTGCGTCTGGGAGACAGACAAGGCTTCCTTTCAGCCAAGTGCTGCAGGTGACCAGGAGACGAGCCAGGCCTCAGAGGCGGCGTAGCCCTGGGTGTCTCCCCTCAGGTTCTGATTGTGTCCACACTCTCCGCCTGGGCCTCAGGCCGGCCACAACCCTGCCGGCCATCTGGGCAGCCTGATTTCCACCTGCTTGCGACTTGCTTCCTGCCCGTTGCTGTGTAGCCTTGGATGTGTCCCACTTCCTCCTCCTTAGAAGGCTCCACTACCTCCTGTTTTTATGTCCCACCCCACCCGCCTATTTCCTTCCTTTGGTCTGAACTGAACATGTGTGTGTCTGGTTACTTGCTGGCTGCTTCTGCCTCACTCAAGTTAACCCCTGTGAAGACAGGAGCATGGGGAGCTCGTTTGTCACTCAGCTTCCAGGCCCGTGGAGGAGGCCCCGTGGAGATCAGTGTGGAGGAGGAGAGGAGCTGGCCTCCGAGGAACCCTGTAGTTGTCTCCCACAGGGTGGGTTCTTAGCTCTGGGTTTATAGGACCATTCGCTTTGGCCTCTTCTGGTGATGTCCCAGGGTTCAGAGTGACGGGAGCAGCCTGGGTGGGAGAAGGGAAGCAGCTGCCTGAGGCCAGCAGGGCTGCATGTGCCTCTCTGGGGGAGAATGACCTGGCCCAGGAGAGGTGAGGTGTCGCTATCTAGGATCGAGGTAGCCACCAGCCAAAGGTCTCCTCGGTTCATATTCGGGGGCCTCGTCAGCACTCCAAAGACAAAGGGACAGGGCCTTGTTCCCTGGAGGGCCTGACTCTTTCAGGGAAGGTCTCAGTCGGTCTTTGTAGAAGCAATGCTGTGTTGGCCCATGTGGTGGTCCGTGTCCCTGTGTTCATGGCTGAGGACAGCCTGCTATTCTGGCCTGAGGGTCCCAAAGTCGGTCAGTCCCATGGACTTGGGTAGGAGTGGGGAGGAGGACAGATGGTGTTCATGACAGTGATGTGTGGTGGTCAGAGGGTGGGGTCCCCGGCAGAAGGACAGGCTGTATTGGCAGCAAGGGCACAGATGGTAAAATGGCAAGGCGGGCCTGAGGCTCTCCTGGGTGCCGGGTGTGGCGGTCAGCGCTGTACCGCAGTCATACACGGTCCTTAGCAGGACCCCGTGAGGTGCACTGCGGTATAGTGCTCAGCTTACGGACTCCAGGTTGGCTGCCCAGGGAGCCTTAATGGCTTGCTCGATGGGTGGAGTCAGAATTCAAATCCAGGCTGTGGATTTAAACACTGGTGCTCAGGGGCTGGGGGCGGAGCTCAGTGGTGGAGCACCTGCCCCGTGCGTGTGAGACCCTGGGTTCCACCCCCAGCACCACAAACACAAAAACCAAGCCATCAAAAATTTTAAGCACGTGTTCTTACCTGTTAAGGGAAGAACTTAGATTTGAAATGGGAAGACCTCACTGGGGTACAAGGCTAATGATGACGGCAGCAGCGGTGACGGTGGCAGTAACAGCCCCAGCAATTTTGCTGATAGTTCCACCCCGGCCACTACTTGTATGCCTGGTTCAGAGCGGGGGCCCCATGAACGTGCTTCATGGACTTGGCTTTACCCCACCCTCCCTGCAGCTTCTCACAGCCAACACACCCCAGGGTACACGGGAGGTGTGACTTAAATGTCCTGGTGAATGCTGGACTTGTGGGAGCTGCACCTCAAGGTCCCAGCACCAAGGTACCAAGGTGCCTGGAATATGAACATAGGTCCAGTACTGCCACCAATCACATGAGCTTCCTGCGGAACCCAGGCTACTGCACAGACTCCCTTGGGCCTATGACTGAGAAGCTAGGTTAAGGTGAGCAATTTTCATCCTGTTTCCTGGCACAGTATAGACGCAGGCTCTCAGTAATGCACCTCCAAGCTCCTATGCGTCTGGAGGTAAGTTCAGTAGGGTCAGAGACTGACTCAGAGAATAGGGAAGCTAAATATGTAGGCGCAGGCTCATGATAGCAGCACTCTGTGAGACTGAGGCAGGAGGCTCGAAAGTTCAAGCCCAGGCTGGACAACTTGGCACCTTAGCAAGACAAAATAAAAAGTAAAAAAAGAGCTCAACGTGAAGACCGTGAGTTCAATCCATAAGACTGGGGAGAAAAATAGAAGGAGGGACACAAGCACATGGTGGTGGAAGAGTACAAGGTGACAGATGTAGAAGCAGAGAGCTTGAATTTCTGGTGACAGCAAAAAGACTTTAAAAATGTTGATGTATCGTTTTGTCAGTCACATGTCCCAGTGCTGAAAATAAATACGAATACAAGAGAATGCTGGGATTGCTCCTGGGGAAATGACTCTGGGCCAGGCAAAATGGCCAGTGGTTTTCAAAGGCCCGAGGGGCAAGCCCAGCCCCAAGAGTGTGTGACTTTAACTACTTGGGGAGACCCTGGGTTTGATCCCAGGTTTACTCGTTTTGAAACTAGATCATCTCAGCTCCCAAGGTAAGGATGCTTTCTTGATAGCTGCGGGCCACTCAGGGGATGTTCTTGAACCAGCTGCTCACCTTCTGGGCTGAACTGGCTCCTCTGTAAAATAGGTGCAAAACCAGACCTGGTCTCACGAGCTCATGGGGTAGAGACTGCAGAGCTGCAGGAGGTGCGCAGCAAGGACTCGGCCCTTTCCCCACAGGGAGAAGCCAAACCTACATTCCCTGTGTGTCTCTTCCCAAGAGTCTGCAAAGCTGACCAGCTGGGATGGAGGGGATCCTCACCGATGCAGGAGGGAGCTGTGGACCACAAGTCACAAGACCCGAGTTATTGTCTGAGTCCAGTGTTGGGTGGGCAGCTACCAGCCATTTCTAGGAAAGACAAATACCGAGATGACCTGTGCCGAAAGGTACAATGCAGCCCTGACCACACACATGCTTTGGATGTCGAGGTTTTATTGCGCTGTCTGCGGTAGCACCTGGCACAGAGTAGGTGCACCATAAATTGAACGTGAGTGAAAAATTGAATATGATTCCTGTACGCCAAGAGTCACAAACTACAGCCAGTGGGTGAAATCCAGTCCGCTGCCTGTCCTTGTAAGGTCGTTCTATTTTAAATTGTTGGAAAAAAACAAAAGAATGATATTCTATGTGCATGAAAATTATAAGCCGTTCAAAGCTCTGCACCCATAACTAAGGTTTCATTGGAACGCATACATACATGCCTGTTGGTTTACACATTATCTACAGTGATTTTCGAGCTACAGTAGCAGAGGTATGTAGTGTGACAGAAATCTTGCAGTCTGCAGAGCCTAAAATATTTTCTCTCTGGCCCTTTAAGTGAAAGTTTGCTCAGTCCTGATCCAGTCACAGCCTGGCTGCACCTTGGAATCTCCTGGGAGTTTTAAAAATTCTACTATGGTGTGGAGGCCTCAGGCTCAGAACTGCTGACTTAATCAGTCCAAGGTGCAGCCTGGATGTGGGGAGGTGAAGAGCGCCCCAAGGTTCAGATGGCCAGCCAGGCCACGCGTGCTACCTTAAGGCTGGCTGCTGGCTAGGACGCCTCTTCCGGGCGCTTTACAGCCTGGGTCCGTGTGGGCATCAGAGCACTGCAGTGGAGTTGGAGGCAGCTCCCAGGCTCCCAACAACTCCAGCACCCCGTGAGGGCATGTGTCCTCCCTTTACCAACTCTCAGGTCACTTTTCTGAGGCCCAAGGGATTGCATAAGCACCCTACACGGCCCAGCGCTGCAGACTGTGATTTGCACCCAGACTACCGGGGCTCGGGGCCCGTGTCTCGCCCCCTGAACACTTCTGCAGTGGGAGAGGAGAGGGCCAAGCAGGCCTCTCAGCAAGCCCGGGGCCAGGGTGTCTGGTTTTCAAAATGACAAGCAGTACAGCAGTGGTGGTGGTAACGTCCTGTGGCTTCTCACTCACAAATCTTTTATTTTTGGCCTGAGACAGCTAATGTGTGGCCAACGTATCCAAGGCAACCAGGATGCTCAGAGCAAGCTGTACCAAATCTCCATGCTAAAACCATCAGAGGGCTAATTCGAGCCTCTCCAGTTATTTATTTAATTATTTTTAGACCCCTGAGTATCGTTTTACACACTTTTCCGACAAATGTGACCATCAGACTCACGAGTGCTGGGCCTTCGACCATGTGTCTGCTTTCCCATGTGTTGTGTGTGTAGGATGTGTGTGTATGTGTGCTGTATGTGTTCTTTGTGCGTTGTATGCATGTAGATAATGTATGATGTGTGTGTGTGCTGTGTAGATGCATGTCTGATGTGTCTGGTGTATATGCTGTCTCTGTTTATGTTGTGGTGGCGAGCAGTGTTGTATGTTTATGTACGTTTGCATGTGCCCATGTGTATGTGTTGACTGTATATGTTGTGTGCATTTGATGAGTTGTGCGTGTATTATATAAGTATGTGTTGTGTGTATGTTTATGTGTCGTATGTATGTATTTTGAGTGTATGCACTGTGTGCGTGTGTCATGTATCTGTGTGGCAACTTTTTGTTGTGCGTGGATGTGGTTTATGTGTTGTGTACCTCTGTCTGTACTTGTCTGTATATATACTACATGTATATATACATATGTATATATACTGTATGTATACCTCTGTCTGTACTTGTCATGTGTGGTGTGCTTGTCTTTGTGTGTGGTATTTCTGTGTGTCTGTGTTTACACTGTGCATGTTTGTGTAGAGAGGGACTGTGTGTAGTATCTGTGTGTGCACGCACGCTTTCTTACTCACTGGGCACCGCTCGTGAGGCGCACTCCTCACCCACCAGAGGCAGAGCCGGAGTTTCACGCCCCCAGGCATGACAACCAAAACATCTCCAGACATTGCCGCAGAGTGACTGGGGTTAGCACTGCTTGATGAAAGACAGGACACCCAGTTGCATTCGAACTTCAGCTCAGCAGCGAGTCACTTTCTAGCATTTGTGAGACCCAAACGTATGCATAAGTATCCCACAAGTATGCTCTATGGAATAGTTGGGACGAACTTATACTAAAGATTGATTCCTTGCTTCCCTGAAACTCAGATGTAACTGAGTGTCCTGTACTTCCCTCTACGAATAGAACAACCTTAATTTGGGAAAATCGCTCCTGAGTGGGAACCACTCTTCACAGCCTGGGTTCTCGGCCACAATGCCTTGGTTTTCTCACCTGCACACTGGGTAGAACAGTACTACCTTGTGCCTTGTCAGGGTGTTCTCGGCACTAACGGGGCAGAGGCGGGCAGATCGGGTGTTGTGTAGAAACCCCCCAGCAAGCTGCAGCAGCTCTACCCCAGACACATTTTGGGGTAGGTGCTATGATGCAAGCTGGCCTCCTCATTCTTCTCCCTACCTTCTTCTGCTCCTGGTCCTGGATATCCTGTGTGAGATGTGACCAAGAAACACACACAAATACACCCGAAGGCTGGGCAGCGGTGGGCAGGGCCCTGCGGTCTGCACATTGGTCCTGGGAGAAACAGCTGCCCCCAGGGAGCCCACAGCTGCTGCTCAGATCCTGGGCCCGAACTGTGCTCAGCCCCAAGGGGACAGTGCTGGCCAAACGCAGACCCAGGCGCTGCCTTCCCCGGCCTCGGGTGGGAGACAAACGTTCTTCAGAGAACCACAGTGAAGCTCCCCCTGCCGGGTCTTTGAACCTGGAGTCCCTTTGACACCTTCCTCCTTCCCTTGCCCCCACAGTGTCACCCAGCAGCAAGTCCTGGGCTCTACCTCTATGTCTTTTTGTTTTTGGTACAGGGAATCGAACTCATGGCCTCGCACCTGCCAGGCAGGCACTGTGCCGCTGAGCTATATCCCCCGCCCTCTACCTTTCTTTCTTAAACAGCCTTATTGAAGCATTGCGGGGTTATGATAAGTTGAAAGCCAGTGAGTTCTGACCTGTCACACACCTGTGAACCCATCTGTGCAACCAAGACCTTGCGTACCCCTGACTGCCCTGAAAGTTCCTTCCCGTTCCCCAGTGACCCATCTCTCCTGCTTCCCGTCCCCCCAGCAACCGTGGATCTGCTTCTGTCATTTTAGATGGCTGCATTTCCTAGAGTTGTATATAAATGGAACCATACAGTATGTACTTTTTTGGGTCTGGCTTCTTTCCTCAACATAATTATTCTGAGATTTGCTCACACTGTTGTGTGTTATCAATAGTTTATCGCTTTTATTTCTGAGTAGTGTTCTATTGTGTAGCCATAGCCTAGCTTATTTTCCAGGGACCTACTGGGATAGCCACTTCTTTTTTATAATGTGATTTTTATGGAAGTGTAACATACACACAGAAGAGTGCAGAAAACGGATGTGACTGAGGAGTGAATTTCGCCACGTGAGCACGCCCATGTAACTAGCACCCAGATCAAGCACCCGGACCGCCCCACCCACACACCTCTCTCCCTGTCTCTGCCCCCCATTCCAAGGCAGCCCTTGCTCTGTGTTCTAGCACAGCTCAAGCCGGTGGTTCTTGGGCTTTACATGAATGAGTCACATGGTGCTTTCTTTTTTTGGAGTCTGGCTTCTTTCACCCAACACTGTGATGGCTGTGAGATCCATCTTTGCTGTTGCGTACAGTGGTAGTTGATCCTTTTTTTATTGCCAAGTAGTGGACCCTGTGTGAGCAGACTGCGTTTCACCCACTTCCTGCTCATGGACGTGTTTCCAGCCTCCTGCTGTCGTGAATAACGCTGCCCTGAACTCGCCGCCACCGTGTCTTTTGTGCACTTGCTTCCATTTCATTTGGGCCACTGGTGGGTTTCCGGTCATAGCTGTGCTGACTAGTGGATAGTCTCCTTAAATTCCTTCAGATTCAGTCTATTCACTGTCCAGCTCCGCCGCTGCGATCCTGGCCCAGGGAGATGCTGTCATTCATACCAGGTGACCTCAGCAGCCTTCAGAGCTCCCCCTGCGCTCTCCCAGCCTGCTGTGCCCACAGGGGTCGGAGTGAGCAGTCAAAGGGGCCAGTGGGACTGTGCTAATCCCCTGCTCCTTGTCACCTCAGGACACTGGGGCAAAATCCAGATCCTGGACCTAAGCCACGGGCCTAGGCTTCTAGGCCCTGACTCCTTGCATTTCCTGGGGCGGGTGACACACCAGTGCAAACTCCATACAAACTTGTTGTCTATCAGAAGCCTAGGAGGTCAGAAGTCTAGAGCAAGTGTGAGCTGGGCTTGACCCTGGGGACGTTGGGAGGAACCCCTTTCCTGACCTCCGTGGTCTTTGGATGGTGAGCAGTGCAGTCCCCCTCCCCCACACCCGTAGCCACCTCTGTGCACACATTGTCCTCATTCGGACTTGTCTGTTGGGTAAGGACTCTGCTACCCTGGGAGCCCTGTGGGACATCTGTTTGCCCTAAGACAGAACGCCCATTCTGGGCAAGGACCCACTCCTCTGCCTTCTGAAACTCTCCCACTCGGCACTCACCAGGTCTCCTTCGCTTGGCTACCAGGCTCCCCTGTTACTCATGTGCCCCCAAGCAGCCGTGGTGGGCGCAGGTGCTGCCCGTTAGTCCGTGTGTCATCCAGCCGAGATCCCCGGCCTCGGAGCCCAACATCATCACGAGTTTCCGAATTCAGCAAGTGGTGAGCACCCACAATGTGCTGACTGTCTTTGGAAATGGAGAATAATGGTGGACTAGACAACAAAGCCCGGTTCTTCAGGAGGCTGATGCTCTTGAGCAGCTAGAGATGCACGCCAAGGTTGTTTTCCACTGGTGCGAGTCAAGCAGAGCAGATTGAGCCTCACAGCCTGGCAGCAAGAGCAAGCAGAAGCCCGGGAGTCACGGCCATCCGGGAACGCTGCCCTGGGCAGTTGGGTGTGTGTATTCCACCTGAGGGACTCTGAAAGTGCCCTGTCCCAGATTTTATACCTGGTGCCACTCTGAACACAGTGTTACAGGGCAGCCAGTTGCTCCGGGTGCTCCCCCTCCGTCTCTAGACTTTGCATAGGGTAGGGGCCAAGTGGTTGAGCCAATGCTAAGGTCACTGGGAACCTGGCCTCCTACGGTGAGCAAATAAGGTCATCTTGCGTGTGCTCCCCCACACACAGACACACAGACACACGCACACATGCACATGCACTAGGGACTAAAGAAAGCCTCTTTCCTAATAGTCAAACAAAAGTTCCAGGGCTGGTG